ATCCCGTTATGCAAATAGAGGCAATCCCCAATGGGGAGTTCTGTCTACGCTACTATGGGTGGTGGTACTGAATGACATTCTACTGCATCTCAACAAAGGTGGAGTGAAAATAGTAGCCTATGCAGGTGATGTAGTGGTGGCGGTATCAGGTCTCTTTCCTTCAAAAATTAGTGAAATCCTAGAGGGATCTTTGCTTGGGCTAAACACCTGGGCCACAAAAAGTGGACAGGGTGCCAACCCTAGCAAGACAGAACTAAGACTGTTCTCCAAAAAAAAAAAAAATACCACAATTCAGGCTTCCGTCCCTCAATGGAATGAGTCTCACATAGTTTACCCTCTCGATGTACACGGCTATCATACGACCAATACTAACGTATGCGGCGTTAGTTTGGTGGCCAGCACTAGATAAACAATACGACGCCAGTAAATTAGGCAGTATACAAAGAGCAGGCTTATGCAGGTGCTACAGGAGCAACTAAGTCGTGCTCCTATGACAGATTTCAGGAAAAGCTTTCAAATTTCTTAAAGGCGGGGTTGGAGTAGGGGCAGGATAGTGTAGGAGAATTCCACTGAAGTCTATACTGACGTGTCCAAAATGGACTGCAGTGTGGGTACAGGGATGTTCTCTGAAACGCTGGATGTCTCTCTCTCTCGTTTCGACTACCTAACTTTGCTAGCATCTTCCAAGTGGAAGTACTGGGCAACGAAAGGGCCTACAAAGCAATAGAGAGGAACTGCGTAGGTGTACGAAAAGCATAAATTTTCCAGATAGCCAAGCTGAATTTCTGGCACTTGCACTACACATCAGTCTCATCCGGGTTCCCGGCCATGGGAACATGCACGGAAATGAGAGTGCTGACGAGTTGGCTAAGGAAGGAGGATCTTTTGATGAATCCGAAGCAAAGACTATAAGTAAATGGTCCAATCGGACACATCAAAAGGGAACTTCATCTGCAGTCCACACGTATGGCTGATACGCGTTGGAACAACCTTCAAACCTGCAAAACTGTGAGCGACATATGGCCGCATTATGACATGCGAAAGAAGAACAGAAGAATTCCTCCAGAGGTCGAGGAAAGATATAGTCAAATTAATAGCCACATTGGTGATCATGCAGCTTAAATGGGCCTTCCGTACAACCCTCGATGCCGTAGGTGTAATCTTGAGGGAAGTTAAGAAACGGTCCTACACTATCTTTGTGAGTGCCCAGCATTGGCACAAATAAGGCAGAACACACTCGGGAGTTTTCCATCGAAAATATTAGGGAGATCTCCAAATTTACCATTACTAACCTAAATAGATTCATCGAAAAATGAAAATAGTTTGACGAAACCGACGGATTATGAAAGCGGATCCCAGAAAAAACGTATCAAAATGGTGCTTTCAACACTAACTGGGTCGAGGGAATGTACTCAGGCGACGCTTCTACCAATCAACCAACAACCAGTGCAAAAATTAAGTCTGATCTTAGGCTCTCTTTTTATGCATGAGGCCTAAAGTCTTTCGTCACTTAAAAATTATAACTGCCGCGTGTTTTAATATACGAAAACTATTTTTTTTATTATGTCGCCTTTTACAAACTGGAAACTGGGGCACTCACGCTCCAGGTATTCATGTCAGTTACGTCAATATCATCTGCATACGCTAGCAGCATTAAACCTGCTTTTGGCCTAGAAAGGCCATTAGAGATTTTTGCCAATTTAGTCGGAGCTATAAGTTGTTCTTAACGTCGCTATAAGTACCTCTTTTTCGGCAACACCAAATTTAGACATGACATCTCTGCTTGCTGTGAAAAGCGGCTCTATAATCGAAAAATGTAGGTCGATTTGTTTAACTAAGGTCTCCTCCAGGATTTGACGTACTGTGAAAACCTGGACAATGGTGGATTTTCTAAACCTGGGGCCACGTTGTTAATGCTCAATAAGTTGATTCGTGAAGGTTTTAGTCTTTGAAACCGGGTCTTTGATAGGGTCATATACGAAATGCTGAGAAGGCGGTAATTGAATTGAATTTGGCAAAGCATACTGAGCTCTGCGGAATAATACATTGTAAATGGAACAGCTATGGCTTTGTGACTTGGTATGCACATGCGTGTGTATATTTTCTCAGTTTATTTATGTATATTTTATGGTAATCTAAATTTGCGAACTACTAATATCCAACACAATATATTTAAAAGCAATTGGCCATTACAACGCCCTCACAATGCAACTGACAAGTGAGAGAAATATTGTCATTGTTGCAATGCCACGTTAAACACCTACATGCATAGGTAATAAATATGTAAATTAGCTTAGGATGTTTTGTGATTATAATACTGAATGCAATAATACTCGTATTTTGAGCTGATGACACTATTTATACCGCATCAGCTTGGGATAATGATACGACTACGTTACAACGTTAAAAACATTGTTGTCTAACTGTCATAGATACCGTAACAAGTGCTTTTCATGCAAATGCTAGATAATATTTGTTGCATGGCACTGTTTAATGCTAATTCATTTTGAGGTCGCTGCACACAAGTTGAGTAAGCTATGTGCTGTGAGAAAAAAGCAAGCGCTCATGTGGGTGAATGTGATAATGGAATATGACATTACTACAAAGCCGCCACTACAAATGCAGGTGTGAAAATTACGGTTTCCTTGCACAAAACTACTGCTCAAAAACGATGCATTTACTTACTTATTTACATATCGTATCGTTAGCGGGTATGTTTATTTTTTTCTTTCGTTTTTCTTTCTTTATTTTCTCGCTTTATTTTTTTGACATTTTGCCTTTTAAAAATATGTGTTTTCGAAATAAAAATTATTCTAAACACCTTCGTTTGACATTCACTTTGTAAAATTTGATTCAACGCATTAATTTAATTTAGTTCAAATCCTTCAACGGGTGACAAAGTCTTTCAGAAATATATCGATATAAATCTTTCTGAAATTTCGTTCATGGGACACCCATATTGTAATACATATTTAATTTAGCGTACTAATTCAATTTAATTTTTTTTTTGTCTTTTTAAATATGTGGCAAGCCTCTTAAAAAGTATTTTAAAATTAAACTTTCTCAAAACTCTGTCTATTGGCACCCGTACCCTGTAATTAAAGGAATTAATTTAATTTTTTTTTAAGNGGCAAGCCTCTTAAAAAGTATTTTAAAATTAAACTTTCTCAAAACTCTGTGTATTGGCACCCGTACCCTGTAATTAAAGGAATTAATTTAATTTTTTTTTTAATCCTTCAACAAATGGCAATGCCTTTCAAAAATATTTTAATAATATATAAACTTTATCTAACCTTCTTCATTTGAGCTACATTGCATTTAACGCATTCTATCAATTTAACTATTCGATACAAAATCTTTCTTAAACGACTTTCGTGTGACGCTTATCAAGCCTTAACCGTCAAAATAACGTAAGCGACATTTTTTTCAAAATTTTCTTTTTGATGCAGAAATATTCCTAGAGCATCTAGATAAATTTCTGCATCAAAAAGAAAATTTTGAAAAAAATTTCGCTTACGTTATTTTGGCGGTTAGGACTCGTTATTTTTGCATATTAAATTAAATTAAATTTAACTTTAATAACAGGTGGCAACCTGCCTCCAAAATACTTTCAAAATAAAACTGTCTCCCCTTCGTTTGGAGCTCATATTTTAATATTTCATTTTAATTAAATTGAATTTTGGTTTTCCAAGGTGGCAACGCTTTTCAAAAATTCTGTCGAAACTCATAATGCTTTATTAAACCTCTTTCGTTGGACAAATTCTTTTATGTTTATAATTTGACTGCATAATTAAATTGATTTTAACTATTTAAACAGATGATTATAGGTTAGAAACTATCAGGTGTCTTATTTTATCTAAATCTGTAAAATGGATTTAGCCTTACAAAAACGATAATAATTACCAAATTGAAGGCGAGATTTACTGTTACTGATTTATGATAATAATATAATGAAAATCGTTCAGAGTATAAAAAAATTATTTAAAGATAAAAAAATGTTGAAGAAATGTATGTGTCAACTTCCTATTTTTGCAATTTTTGTATTGTATGCATTAACATAAGTAAACCAATTAGTGTTTCCATACTCATTTGCATAAACAAAATTTTCCCACGGCGATGGAAAATAATAGATTTTCCATTAGAGCTACCGAAATTGTTCCTAAATTTGCAAAAATTCGCAAACTATAGCTAATATTAAAAAAGATTAGAATATTTGAAAGCTAGGATTGTTCTATACCGAAAAAACTATATCCCTATTTTTTTATTTTGAAATAAAAAAAAAAAACAAATTACGGAGTGCTCAAGACGCTCAAAGTTTTTCATGTATTTTTTATTCGTAGAAATAGTGTATAAATCTTGAAAATCAATATTTTTGGATCGGAAAACTCGGTCGTATCCAAGAGATTCCCAATAATAATACCCAATTGTTTCTTTGACCATTTTTTTATGGTAAAATTATTTTATAGGTCCACCAACCCCCAGAAAATGCAATGGGGGGACCAATAAACAATCTTTAACATTAAGAAATGGTTTATTTAAACAATTGGATTTTAATATTGGAAGTCTCCTTAAGAACACCACAGTTTTCCGATCGAAAAATATGGATTTTCAAGAATTTTATACCATTTCTATGAAAAGTTGTACATGGAAAACTTTGAGCGCTTTGAGCACCCCTAAATATTTTTTCATTTCAAAACTAAAAAATGTGGGTATATTTTTTCAATATAGAACAATCCTAGGAGGTGGCGGCATTAAAATTCCGACCTTATTTTTTTGGACCACTCTAATGTACATACACATATTTATGTAAGTAAGTGCATACATTTGTTAGCAGAATTAAATTATGCATATGTTTCTTGCAAACAAAGCATTTATCTTTTATATACCTTTATTTATTTTTTATTTCTAGAATACAAGAAAATGCACATGTGAATAAATAAAGTTTTCTTAGCCCATATGAATATATGTATGTATGTAATTTTCATGCTTTTTTCTCTTTATTTGCAGATGAACGCCAGGACATACAAAAGAAGACCTTCACAAAATGGATTAATTCACATTTGCTTAAAGCCCAGTGCACACCAGTGATCGATTTGTTTGAGGATTTACGCGATGGCCATCGTTTGTTGGCATTGCTTAGTATACTCACTCAATCACAGATGGTAGGTGAAACTAATTTGCCATTTCTTGCTAACAATTATAATATAAATAATGAATAGAAGTCGGAGTGTGAAGTAAGGCTAACACGTGGATGTATGGATTTTTAGGAATTTGTCGGTGCCTTTTCCACCCGTTTCGCTCCTCGATGCTCCGCTCATATTAACAGCCTCATTGCTTGAGTCGTAAATTAGGCTAAATTGCACGACATCCGCATTGTCGACTGTCGTGCCGAAATAATATAAACGGCGAAAATCGTCGAAAACTAGCGGTGCTGCCAAGTTTTTCCGTTTTAATACACTAGTCGAGTGGAAATTTTAGGCAATGGCGTGAAATTTTCGAAGCGATTCGACTCTCGAAAAACGACTTGCATTCGACACGTCTTTTGCAATGAGGCTGTGAATTTCTTATCTTAGATCTAATTCGCTGTCTCGGTAGCCTGTTGGCATAGATTTCCGAAAGTAATTTTTACATGTTTTTTAAGTGATGGACTTTTTACTGCAAATGTTAGGTCTCTTTAGACATTCTGCCCTATTATGGTTGTCGACATCGACGTTGATGTAATTTTTTCATCAAAAAATAGCCCTTGTCGAGGAACACCTTTCCTCTAAAATGCTGTGGTCTGCGTAGCTGGAGTTGGACTTGCGATGGCTATTTTTTGATGAAAAAAACGACGTCGACGTGGATAGCCATTATAGAGCCGATTATATTATTATTAAAAAAAGAACTCTAAAGAAAGTGACAAAAAAGTTAAGGCTAGTACAAAAAAATTAAAAAAAAAAATACTCTAGAAATCCCGAAAACTAACAAATCATGAAAAATGCATAATTGCTTTGAAAAACTAAGTACAAATTTTAAAGCACCAAAGCTATTTTAATAAAACCTTAGTCCGGTATGTGGGAACCATAGGTCTCTATGTACAAATTGATTATTCTTAAAACTTAGCAGAATTATGCTGTCATCAGATATGCTATTGAATCTCTTGATTGTTCTTATGGTATTCCACCTACTGCACTCGAAGGAGTTGTTGAGGTAATTTGGGAGCTTATGGCTAACTAAGAAATATGACATGATATGGAATATGGTATATTTAGCAATATAGTATACTTGAAAATGTGATATGCTATGAAATATGGTATGCCATGAAATATTTTAGGCTATGGAATGTGGTATTTTATGAAATATGTTATGCTATGAAAAATGGTATGCTATGAAATATGGTAAGCTATGGAATATAGCATGCTATGAAGTATAGCATAGTATAAAATATGGCATGCCATGAAATGTTATATGCCATAAAATATGAGTGACAACAGAATATGTATTTTTAATTCTCGGAACCATTTTATTAGTTATGCGCCAGTTGCCTGGTGGATAGTAATTTTCTCTGCAGTGGTACCTTGAAAGCTCTTGATGCGCGGCCGCACTAACCAGCTCATTGAGTCTCTATATAAATATGGAGAGACCTTTAGAGCCGTTTGCAGATTTGAAAGATATGGATGTTGGGAAGGCACTGAATGGTGAGACACAAAAATTGCACCTTGTCAGAATTGGGAGCCTATATTGGGGATGATAACCAGAAGCCTAATTTTTCTTTCCGAGATTATACTTCGGCATTTTAAGCTGAAGTATTTGCAATTCTTAGTGCTGTGGAGTAATAGAAATAGTTCATATGGTCTACTAAGGTATGAAGGTACCTGCATTTATTGAAGAAATTGCATACATCTCATAGCATTGCTGACTGGCCATTTATCATAGTGAAACTAACTGACAATCTCAATTCTGCACTTTTAGTTATGAGGAGGATGCTAGGAGTGTAAAGTTTTTGCCTGCATGTCAACAAATTTGAGAAACTCTAGAAAATGTCCTTCCTTATGTTGTTTTATTGCCAACAAATTATTTAGTAAGATAATGACACTTCGAAATGTAGGGAAATAAGTAAAATGATGAGACGGATGTGAAACAGGCAGCACTAACTGACTTCAACAGTTGCAAGTCATTGCTTCATATTCACACTACGCATATCAATTATCCTTCCGAGTATAGGGAAAAGGAAATGTGAATCGAATTAGATAAGGTAAAAGGTACTTGATAGAAGAGAAGGATGTGCAAAAGAAGCGGCAAATATTTCGAATTGTGTAGAAATAGCAAAGTCAAGGCTTTCTGTGAATGCAAATTGCAGGTAAATAATGAGTGACAGGTGGGAAATGCGAAATCACACATACAGAGACAGGTGATGAAAATGTGTGTGGGTGTAAATGAGTGTGAGTTGAGTACAATTGAGTGTAGATGCAGGTTGCATGATTAAGGTGAAAGTAAAGAGCAGAGTGCACATGTTGCTTGCTGATCAGATAGACTGACGCAAAGCAATTTGTATATATTTTGCTTGCATTTTCTTTACATTACTTTTCTATTTTCATTCATTTCCTTTCATTATGCAATCCTCTTATGCAATTGCGCTTCGCCACATCAACTCGAACGCGCGCATCCACGCTGAACAGAAACCTGAGAGGGGTCGCATGCGCGTACATCACATCAACAATATTAACAAAGTTATCCAAGTGATACAGGAGCATGGCGTCAAGTTGGTGAATATTTCTAGCGATGATATAGTTGCTGGCAATCCGAAATTGACGCTTGGCCTGATCTGGCTCATTGCGCTTGAGTTCAATGGCCAAAATCTAGTCAAGAGCCAGTCGAGCAATGGCGTCGAGAAATCGTTGCTTGCGTGGGCGCGTCAATTTGCCGAACCATATGGCTTGCAGCTGCACGACTTTTCCACCAGTTGGGCTGACGGACGCGCCTTTCTTATTATACTCAACGCGCATCTTGACGATATCGACTTGAGCGCGGCGCTGACGAAACATCCTTTGGCGCGACTCAAGACCGCCTTCGATTTGGCGCACAAGTACTTTAAGATTGAGAAGCTGCTCGATCCGGAGGATGTGCACACGCACAAGCCCGACAATAAATCCATACAAATGTATGTGATGTGCTTGTATCATGCCATGGAGTCGTTCCGCAATCGCGAACGCAGTGATAGCGCGGGTGAAGCGGTGCTGTTCGACGAGAAGGCGCAGGAAGCGCTGCCACCGCGCGCGCNACGAAACATCCTTTGGCGCGACTCAAGACCGCCTTCGATTTGGCGCACAAGTACTTTAAGATTGAGAAGCTGCTCGATCCGGAGGATGTACACACGCACAAGCCCGACAATAAATCCATACAAATGTATGTGATGTGCTTGTATCATGCCATGGAGTCGTTACGCAATCGCGAACGCAGTGATAGCGCGGGTGAAGCGGTGCTGTTCGACGAGAAGGCACAGGAAGCGCTGCCACCGCGCGCGACACACAGAAACATCACAGATCTCGATGAGGTGCCGTTGGATAGCGCTGAAGAGGTGTTCTCTGACATGAGCAGCACGCCAGTGAGCAGCTCAGACCCAGTGAAGTCGCCCAAGCATAGCAGCGATACAATGCGCAGCATTATGGACATCGGTATGGATGAGAGCAAACCGCCGCCTTTGGATTTCTTGCGCATGTCGCATGATAAGTCGCGGCCCATAAGCACGGCGACAAATGCATCGATTGAGATTACTAGCTATCAGGCAGCACTGGAAGCGGTGCTCACGCTGCTGCTAGAAGACGAGCAGATACTCTCACGTGAGTTGCCTGAGCCCAACGATTTTCAGAGCGCCAGGTCNCATGATAAGTCGCGGCCCATAAGCACGGCGACAAATGCATCGATTGAGATAACTAGCTATCAGGCAGCACTGGAGGCGGTGCTCACGCTGCTGCTAGAAGACGAGCAGATACTCTCACGTGAGTTGCCTGAGCCCAACGATTTTCAGAGCGCCAAGTTGCAGTTCCATGAGAATGAACATTTCATGTTGAAACTCACCGAACACCAGCAGTATGTGGGAGAAGCGCTCGAAGAGGGCTCCAACTTGATTAACGAATCACAAAAAACTTCGGGTCTTACTACCGAAGATCAAAATGAAATACGCCAGCAAATGGTGCTGCTCAACGAACGTTGGGAAACACTGCGCCTGCAGGCACTCGACGTACAGGCGAAGATATTGGCGCGTCTTGCCGAATTTCAGTCGCAACAGATCGAAAAGCTGCGACTCTTTCTCACCAACGTCGAGGATCGCATATCCCACTTGACGGACATTGGTCCAAGCTTGCCGGCGGTGCAGCAGCAAATTGCTGAGGCGCGGCAACTCAAAGACGATCTATGCAATCAGCAAGCGCTGGTGGATAGCCTTAGCAATATGGTGGTGATAGTGAACGACGAGTCGGGTAATTTCAACGATCTCGAAGACAAGTTGTCCGCGCTGGGTGAACGCTGGTCGCATGTGTCCAAGTGGAGTGATCTGCGCATGGAGAAGCTGCAGCAGTACAAGTGCATTTATCGTTGGCTGGATACGCGCGAACAAGATCTAAAGACAATGGAGAGTAAGGACGTCACCGATCTGGGTGGCATTACGAAGCGCATGAATGACCTGAACTATTGCGCCAAGGACTTGTTAGAGTTGGAGCGCTACCTAGTGGACTTGCGGCAAATGGTAGCTGCTTCGCTGCAGGAAGGCGATGATCAGGGTGAGCGCGTGCTGGTGCAGTTGGAGAGTTTCGAAGATCGCTTGGACGCGCTAAAACAGATAGTTGAAGTACAGACTGATCGTATCGAAGCTAAGGGTTTCAAGTTCGGGCGCGATCGTGCGTCATATGACGATAGTCGCGTGGTGCGCCCAGATGGCTGGGTAGACTTTCAGATGCTCATAAAATTTGGTGAAGAAAGTGATGAGATGAACGAGGAGAATACGAAAGCCGGGCAAGAGAATGAAGAACCGCAAACGACCGCCTACCAAGAAGCGTCACCGGAGGGCAATAAGAAGCGTAAGCTGCGCAGCTCCGATAATTTTTATTTGCTCACCGGGCGCATAATGGAGATATTTAACTTCCTCGACGACTGCGAAGATCGCCTGCAGAGCGTGCATCGTCAGAGCTTGCGCAACCAAAGCGAAATGCTAATAACGCTAGAGAAAGAGGTCGCAAAGCGCGTGCCACTAACGAGCGAGCTGAAGCAGCTATTTGAGGTGTGCGAACAGGAAGATCTGAAGCGGAATTTAATTATGGAGGCCACGCAGATAAAACAGATTGACGAGCGCTTTACGGAGCTCATCAAACGCATCGTCGAACAGAAATCCGAGACAGCACAAATAATAGCCAAGGAGAAGTTCTACAACAGCTTGACTGGCTTCAAGTTAGTGCTTGCTGATTCACGAGACTGGTACAAGCAGCACTCGCTGTCAGCGAGCAAGTCCGACTTAGAGCAACGCTTGAGTCACATGGAATCGCTGTCAAGCGAAATAGCCGACGCAAAGGAGATTACCGCCACGCTGAGTGATGACTTGCATGAATGGAAGCAGGATTTCAACNAGCAAGTCCGACTTAGAGCAACGCTTGAGTCACATGGAATCGCTGTCAAGTGAAATAGCCGACGCAAAGGAGATTACCGCCACGCTGAGTGATGACTTGCATGAATGGAAGCAGGATTTCAAAATCTTTTACGAGAGTTGGAGCGACATGAAGCGCGCAATCATCACACTCATACAAGAGAAGGGTGGACTGGACGAAGTCAATGAGCGCCTGCAACGTTTGGAGGACTTCATAGCGAAGGTGGCGGGTGTAAAAGTGGTCGTCACTGACTTGACGCCCATGCAGCAGCAACAGCAGCAATTGAACGCGCTTGTCGATGAATTGGAAAAGTTGAGAGCGGACTACGAGTATGTCTGCCAACGCCGCCCCGATGCAATGGGCACCGAGTTCGAGGAGAACTGGGCGAAGATACCGGAACAGCTGAACGAGCGCGTAATAAAGCAAACGACGGCGATTGAGAATCTCAACCATTTCAACGCCGAGTATAATGCCATATTGAATGTGCTGCGCAAGCTGGAGGCGAAGTTCAAGCGTGACGATGCTGAAAACACAGAGCAGCCGCTGAATGGGCAAGCGACAGTAGGCGATAGCAATCGGTTGAATATGGAACTTCGTAAGATCGAAATTGATGTGATAAGCGCACGCAACTTCAGCGAGATACTCATCAAGGACGCAGAGTCGGCGCATCGTGAGCA